AAATTTTTCCTGTCACTGGCATCTGTTATTCAGCATTGTGAGGTATGCACATCCTTATCATCATATGTAGTTATATGTTGTTTATGCTCAATGCTGTAGGGCAGGGTTCAGCAAACTTTTTCTATAAAGGACTAGATAGTAAATATAGGAGTCTTCTCAGGCCATTGGATCTCTGTCACAACTACTCAACTCTGATGTTATCGTGTGAAAGCAGCTATGGACAATGTTTAAACCAATGGACAGGGCTGTGTCCTAAGAAAATGTTATTTACAAAAACAGGCAACCTGGATTACAAACAGAGTGCCGTAGTTTTCCAACCGCTGCTGTGGAATATTCCATTGTGTGAATATACTACAATTTCTTCATCTATGCCGTTGATGAGTTTTGGGTTAGGTTTTAATTTGAGACTATTTATGAATAGTGATATGAACATTCTTGTACATGTGTTTGGTGAACAGATGTTTGCATTTCTGCTGGGTATGTTCCAAGGAGCGGAATTGCTGGGTTGTAAGTTGTACATATGTCCAGCTTTAGAAGCTGCTGCTCAGTAGTTTTGCAAAGTGGTTGTACCAATTTATTCTCCTCTATCTACAAGCAGCCGTGTCTGCGTCCCAGTTGCTTCATTTCTTTGCTAACGCTTGGCATTTTCACATCAACCTTTCAGGTGGGTGCATACTGGTATCGCTTTATGGTTTCAACTTGCGTTTCCCTGATAAGTAATGCAGCTCAGCTCCTTTTCATGTGTTCATAGCCGTTTTGGATATCTTCTGTGTGAAGTACCTCTTCCAATAACTTTTTATGCCTTTTATTTGCATCAATTACCTTCTGCCTCGACGATAAGTCTTGCTGTCTCCTTTGGGGAGTGTGGCTATTTTCTAAACTCAGGAGTCTTCAGGAGCCCATGTTATGCATATGTTACTAATTTGCCTTTAATTCTACTGTGAGATGTTTGCCCTCTAAGAATCTGTTTCAGGTTCTTTTCCCTTAAGAAATTTTGATCCTGTGCTTGCATGTGTAAGCTCTTTCCCAATTCTTCTTCACGCGACAGCTGCCAAAAAGATTTCTCTTCTTTATCTACCACATTTAGACAAAATAAAACAAACAAAACGATCTCTACTTCAGCCTTCATGGGTGCTTTGAGTTTGAGCTCTCTCCCTACTTCCCAAATCCATCCTTCTCTCCCCCTGGTAGTTCTCTCCTTCCCCACTGGAACTCCCACTAGCCCCTCCTCATCTTATCTCCTTTATTGACTATTTTAATGAATTAAGAAAAAGCCCCATAGCCAATCAGACAAGTTTCCTTCCCAGAGAGCAAAGGCAAAGTTGATAGAATTTTTCTTTAGAATTTAAGATGACAAGACTGTGAATATTCTCATGACTGCCTATCTTTGTCTTTGCCACTGGTAGGTTCTGTGTCCATGCCAATAAATATCGTCTTGAACGTTTTTAAAAATGGAAAACAAGTTAGGGGTCTCTCTTATTTGATCCTTGCAATTAAGGACACTGAGCCCATGACTACCGTGGGAACTTATTTTCAAGGACTCTGCTTCCTGAGGACTAACCACGGGGCAGGTACTATGTGCATCAGGTGTCCCTAAGATCATCCCTAGGTTTGACGATTTGCTAAGAGGATTGAGCATATAGTTGAACTCAGGGCTTCTTACGGCAAAAGGATACAGAGGGAAATCCACAAAGGGAAAAGGCATGTGCAGCAAAGTCCAGGGGAAATCAGGCACAAGCACGCCGAGCCCTCTCCCGGGGAGTCACAAGACAGGCATAATTTCTCCAGCAATGAGTTGTGACAACACATACGGAACGTTACCTTCCAGGGATGCTCATTAGGGACTCAGTGCCCAGGGTCTTTACTGGGGCTGGTAAATAGGCACTCCTTGCCTGGCATGTACCAAATTTCCCTGAAGGGAAACAAGTGTTCAGCAGAAACCACACTGTTTGTGCAGATAGTTTAGCTACCCTTGTCAGGGAATGATGGGAACCTTCCTGAAATCTGCCTTCCCAGATGCCAGCTAAGGGCCAACTTTGTAAGCAGACCTTTCAAAGGACAGCAGCCAGACCAGCTATGATAACGCATTTTGGCAGAGTGAGGCATTTGAAATTCGCAAACCCTCCCAGCAACATCACAAAGCTGTACAATCATTATCCCTATTTGGAGGAGAAAAGACTAAGTCTCAGAGAGGGTGGAGAACTCTACTAAGAGCTAATAAGTGGTAAAACCTGGACATAGACGAAGTGAAATCACAGACCATGTTGTTCTCACCAAGCCCCACTGCCTCTCAATTCTTTAACCTTAATATTTAACTGCTTAACAGCCAACCTGTGCTGAGTCCTTTCTATGGGCCAGGCGCTGTGCTAGATGCTTCTCCTACAACAGCTCATTTAAGCCTCTTGAGGGCGTGTGTTATTATTATCCCCATTTTACAGCTGAGAAAACTGAGGCACAGAGCTATTGAAAAATGAACATCATCAGGCCATAATAATTGTGGCTATGTGCTGGGTGCTTCCGAGGTCCAGACACGGTGGTAAACATTTTCCATGCTCATTAATCTTCATGATATCCTTATAAGATAGAACTGCGGCAGCTCCAGAATTGGGGATGGGAAGGAGTTAGGGATGGCAGTCTGGCTGGAAGGGGCTTGAGGTTTATATATCCCTTTACCTGAGATTGAGGAAACCCGCCTACCCGTGTCAGGGGTGGGGGTGGGGCGAACCTCCAGGGGAGTAGGCACCGCTTTCGTCCCCAGTTTATGGATGAGGTTCAGGACTAGGAAGTAACGTGCTTAAGCCACACAGCAGCTCCCGTGGGTGCCCTGGTTCCACTGCCCCAAGGCACGTTCCTCCTGCGTGGATCTGCCAGCTTTGCCCAGCTGCTTCTCCTCAGCGGCCTCTGTAGAGCAAAGGTGAGCTGAGGGTGGATCTTCATGGAGCAAAGCTAGTATGAGGAGAAGATCCAAAGTTCCAGAAAGCAAGCCTGATGCAGGGCTCCAGGAGTTCAGAGGAAAGTAAGGCAGATGCTTCCAGGAGAAGCACCGGGCAACTCATTCACGCAGTCCAGGAGGAGGGGAGCCGACTCAGGGCTTTGATGAACTTTCAGTGCGAAGTGCCCTGTTTTGTTAGGTGGAGATGGGCCCCACGTGAGTCCTTCCTCATCCTCTCCCACGCCTACCTTTGCCCCACCCTGGCCCCCACCCATCAGAGGAGGAACTTACTTGAGCGGGGGAAAGGGCTCCTTGGAACCCTTGCCCTCAGAGGAGGAGACGTGGACCTGGCTGAGACAGAGCAGCTGAGGACGTCTGCAAGCCCAGGGTGCTAACCGGTACTTCTAGCAGCTACGAGAGAGGGAAACGAGGTAGAAAACACAGGGCCAACCAGAGGGCTCTGCTGGCTCTACTGAGTCCCTGCCGTGTCATGCACACCTGTCCTGAGGCGATGCAATTGGTGAAACATGCCCCCCTCCCTCCGAAAACTGACAACCAGTGTTGATTTTGCCGATTCTAGAAAGTAGTGGCTAATGTTATCGTGCTGATCATGCAGTGTAGGGTGGTGTCGAGTTTATTTTCAGGGAAGAATTCACTTTATTCTTTTTTTAAGACTGTTTTTTTTTTTGATGTGGACCATTTTTAAAGTCTTCTTGAATTTGTTACAATATTGCTTCTGTTTTATGTTTTGGTTTCTGGGTCCAGAGGTATGTGGGATCTTAGCTCCCTGACCAGGGATCAAACCCACACCCCCCTGTGTTGGGAGGCAAAGTCTTAACCACTGGACCGCCAGGGAAGTCCCGAGACTTCACTTTAATTTAGAGCATCATGGGGACTGAAGCTGCTGCTTCCATTGCATTTTCCCTGCAGTTTGCAGAGAAATGAAATAAGGCAGCAGAGATTGCCAAGTTGGGCACTTGCAAGGACTCTGGAGGCAGCCCTTGTGAAGTGTGTAGGGTTGTTCCAAGGGCAAATTAATGCTCAGTGGAGACGCGACTTCTGCCTATGTTTGAAGGCCCATCCCCTCAGCTAAGCACCCAGCGCACAGGGGTGACTGAACCTCTCCAACTAGGGAACCGAGGACAACACGGTGCTACCTGACTTTCCAGTTCAGGCCAACTTTGGGTAGGTCACTTCGGTTCTCCAGGCCTCAGCTTCCTAATCTGCAAAATGGAAATAACCATCCTTCCTAAGGCTGTGGTTAAATGAGACAATGAACAGCAAATGTGGGGCACTTAGCATCTGGCACCAGAAAGTGGTTCATAAACGTCAGGTGCTGCTTCTGCCGCTGATGCTATAGTGACCACGGGGTAATACCGAGCAAAGGACGTGAGCGCAGCCCAGTGATGCAGGTGGGAGGAAAGGCTTCCGTATCAGCTCAGGGGCGTCTGCTCCGATTCTCGCCTCTGAGAGCAGACAGTGGATGTTTGCCACCAACCCTTCCTTCCCTCCCACCTTCCTTCAGCTCCTGGAATTTCCTTCAGGTATTAAATACCCCCATGCAGCCAGGGCCTTGGTGAGAGCTGACTCCACCCCCTTGGTCAGGCAGTGAGCCCCGATTGGCTTACAGGGATCAGCACCGTCCATTTCCTGCCCAGTCATTGGTTTGCAGGCAAGCATGTGACCTAGCGGATCCAATCAGGGTGCATCTTGTTTGAACCTGCATTCACCTGCCCCGCATGTGACGTGGAAAGGCGTAGCCGCGGGATGCAGGCAACCTTGATGGGGATGTTGCTGAGATGGCAGAGCTGAGGAATAGAAAACACCTGGGCCACATGTAGCATTGTTAAGTCTCGGGACTCATCCAACCCGGAAGCTGGATCTTACCTGCACTTTCCGTTCGGACAAACCAGATCTCCTCAGTTGCGCCAGCCAGTGCAAGTTGCCTTTCTTGGTTACTTGCAACTAGAAGCACCCTGTCGGGATGCACTCCTGTAGGTGTAATTGTTCAGCTTCCACGTTTGCCTTGGAGAGGACAGTGACCTTTTCTTATCCTCTGTGTTCGCAGCTTCTCGCCAGAGTCTAGGACACCTCAGGCACTCCATCATCGCTTGTTGAATTCATAGGACGTTACTTACCTCATGGAACTTGTAGTCTCCTTGAAAAATGAGACACATGTGTCTGCATCTAAATAAGATGTGAGACAAGCTGGGACCAAGGCCCGGTGCTAGTTCTACAGGAAATCGATGCTGTCATACTTGATCTTCCTCCTTGAAGCGACCTTATGACGCTGGACAAACAGGACAAACAGCGGACGCCAAAACCACCCGTGTGGACCAACTGGGCTTGGGAAATATTCATGGAGACCAGGGGAGGTTTTTTTCCTTAAAAGGTAAGTTGGAATTTATTGAAACTAGGAGACAGGCCCCATACAAAGTGTCCATTAGAACACATTTGGTTCAAATGGGGCAGAAAAATTGGTTGCAAAAATGGCTTAAGCAAAACAAGAGAGAGAGGGAGAGAAAACGTATTGGTGTGTGAAAGAAAACTCCAGGGGGAGCTCCACCTTCAGGGACATAGTGAGCAGAACCTTAGCTCTTCTGTGTCACCCAGAACTGCCTTTCTCTGTGTTGGCTTCAGTCTCTTGCTCTGCCTGGGAGCAAAACGACGGCGGCATCTGCCACCACTACATCCCCATGGGCTCCCAGCTGCATCTCCTCTACCTCGTTGGCCCAAGGGCCCATCCCAGTACCAGTCACTGTGGCTGGGTGAGGGTCATGCTTTGATTAATTTGGGCTTTGGACACACGCTTCACCTCTTTGGGAGGGTCTCATTGGCTGGTCCCTAAGACATTAGGGAGCACTCTTGCCAGAAGGAGGGTGAGGGGTCCTGGGGACAAAAGCAAGAGCGATGGACAGAAAGAGTGGAAACAAAGATATTCACCCGTTTTCACGGCACACATGGTGGAAGGCCTACCATTCCTCAGACTCTGCTGGGACTAGAGGACAAATGAGGGACAGGGCTTGGCTTTGAGGAGTTCACAGCTCAGAGGACAGGTGAGAGTTTATTCCTGTCTGGCTTAAAATAAGGACGAGCACAGAGCTGCACAGGACCTCTGGTGTCTCTCAGCCCCTTTATCCCTTCTCTTTCTGTAGGAAGATGGAAATCCCTTCAACCCTTATCACGGTGTCACGTGAATGTGCTTAGGATTGGACCAGCTTCTTGTCCTCTCTGCTTCGGTTTCTGCATCTTTAACATCAGGATTATAAGAGCATGTGCCTCCCAGGGCTGTAGAGAGGGAGAAGAGACGTGGTGCCTGGGAAACACTGAGCATAGCACCAGGGTCCGAGTGAGGGCTCCATGAAGGTTAACTCTGTCCTGTTTCGTTGGGGTGATGTCAGTGGTATTGGGACAAGTCTGCCTGTAACGTGCTTCTTTTTACTCTTCGTGGAGGATGGATGGAGAAGAGGGTAGAGCCAGACTGCCTGGCTGTGGGTTTGTGTCTTAGTCTGCTTGGGCTGCCATAACAAAGTACCACAGACTGGGGGGCTTAAACAGCAGACATTTATTTTCTCACAGTTCTGGAGGCTGGAAAGCTGAGATCAGGGTGTCAGTATGATTGGGTTCTGGTGAGAGCTCTCTTCCTGACCTGCAGCTACTTTCTTGTTGTGTCCTCACATGGCAGGGATTGAGAGGGGTGGAGGAGGGACAGGGAGGGAAAGGGAGGGACAGAGAGAGACAGAGAGCTATCTCTTCCTCTTCTATAAGGTCACAGTTCTATCAGATTAGGACCCCACCCTTATTATTTCATTTAACCTTAATTGCCTCCTAAAGATCTTATCTCCAAGTATAGTCACACTGGGGGGTTAGGGCTTCAACATATGAATTTTAGGGGGACACAGTTTAGTCCATAGCAAACAACGTAACCTTCCTAGACCTCAGTTTGCACATCTGTGTCTCATAATAGACTTATAAGACTTATCTCATAAGTCTGTTATGTATATAGAAAGTACCCAGTATACCTTCATCACTACTCTTTTTTTCTCTTACTAGCTAGCAACCAAGGACTTTGATTTATCTCAGCAGCCCCCGACAGCCTCTGGCTCCATCCCCAGCACATAGTGCGTGTTCAGCGATTGTTGGTTTAGTGAATCCATAACGTATTGCTTCGTTTGCACAGTGCTGTGTGCACTGGTGAGACGTTGGGGTATCAGGCCACTGTGTGTGACACATTAGCTAAGATTCAGATTCAGGTGTTGTTACAAAGAAACCAAAATAACAGTATCTGAATCAAGGCAGTTTATTTTTCCATCACATGATAGTCTGGATGAGGTGATCCAGAGCTGGGACAGTGGCTTCATGGCATCAGGGACCCAGGCACCTTCCCTGTTGTGGCTCCGTGATGCCTCGGATATTCCTGTCATTTGAATAACCCAAGATGGCTTCCTCTCATCTGCATGGTCCCTGTTCCAGGTAGCAAAGGGGGGACAGAGATGAAGGAAGAGTGCGCCACTTCCCTCCAAAGGCATCCCATTGAACAGAGCTTGCTCATGCAGCCATGCCTAGCAAGGGAGCTGGGTAGTGTGGTTGCCGGTTGGGCATCCATGAGTTCCATCAGAAAGTGGGGATTCTGTCACTAGCAGAGACACGTGGGGATTGGATATTGGGGCACAGTTAGCAGTCTCTGCCCAAGACTTCTGCTTCTCCAGGGGCAAGGGCTAGATCTCTGCCTCATGGATGAAGAAGCGCCCAGGTGGGAGGTGAACTGGGATTTGTCCAAAGAGAGATGTCCTTTAGGAAGATGAAGGCCGTGGAGAAGGTCTTGTTCGCGAGCCAACACAGGATCTTCAGTCAACCGGGACCCTCCCTTCTCACCCCTCTGCTCTGGGACCCTGCTAAGGCCCTGCCCAGGTAAAAGAAGGAGGCAGTTTCATTTATTGTCAGATCCCCAGGGCCCATCAAGGAGATGGAGGGGACGTAGGCCTGACCTGCAGAGCTCTGGAGGGACCCAAGGCGAATTGCGCCACTGCTTTCCTCTGAGTGGGAGACGTGGCTTCAAGGACAAGGAGAAATTTTGAAGTCAAGAGAAAATAGCTTTTCTAGGCGGTACCTTCTTCTAGAAGCAGAGCTTGCTTCCTGTTCCTCTGGGCAGCCCCAGTGCTACATGAGGCCTGGCACATAGTAGGCATGCTACTGAACAAACAATTTCTTGCAGTTTTTCCTCCACTTCTTTAGACTTTAAAGACTTGGGCTCAGGAGGTGAATATTGCCTTATGATTTATTTTGATCACTCAGCAACGTGAGGCCCAGTGCCTGGCACACAGTAGGTGCTCAGCTGTATGGTTTCCCAGCACCTCTGGAAATGCATCATGTATCATCAGGCCTTTGGAAAAGGAGGGTCTCCATCCTTACAACCTCCTTGCTATGGAGTCAGGGCTGACCAATTCTTAAACATGCAGAAAGGGAGAGCGGTGATAACAGCTTTAATAACAGTGTGCACCAACTGAGCACCTACTGTGTGCTGGACTCTATGCCAGGTGCTTGACAAGTTCTCTCAAATCCTTCACCAGCCCTTCAACGTGAGGATTATTATCTCCATTTTCTAGAGGCAACTGAAATGAGGCGAGAACTTAGCTCATCCCTTTAGAGCAGAGACTGGCAAACTATGGCCCATGGGTCAAATCTGGCCCGCCACCTGTTTCTGTAAATAAAGTTTTATTGGCATACAGCCACCGCCATTCATTTACATAATGCATGCAGCTGCTTTCCCACTACAACGGCGGAGTAGTTGCGACAGAGACCATATGGCCCGCAAAGCCTAAAATATTTACTATCTGGCCCTTTACTGAAAGTTTGTCCGGTTTAGAGGAAACATGTGAATACTTTCTTTTTGCCAGGCTGGAAATCAGACCAAGAAAGGCTTTGCAAGCCATGGTGAGGCACTGAGCCTTGTTGGGCTGGCAGAGGATTGTCCCTGCAGGGGGCTGAATGTGTGTTTCAGGACAACCAGTCTGGCTGCTGAATGGAGAATTACTAGCAGCGAGCGAGGGAAACCTATTAGGAGTTTGCTGAAATAATCCAGGCAACAGAAGGCTGGGCTGAAAGGTCCCGGTGGGGTGAGAGGTTTAGGAGGGAGAATCCACAGGACTGGCAGTGATTATCTGGAGGTGAGCGGGGGAGAGAAGACGTAGGGAAAAACTTCAGTCTGGGGAGGGGTTAGAGGTGACATTCACTGAGCTAAGAAACCAGGAGGCGGACAAGCAGCTGGTGTGCGGAGCAGGGAGTTTAGTTTGGGAGGTGCTGAGTTTGAGGTGTCTGCTGGATGTCTCAGCCGAGATGGCCAGCTGGAGGGTGGCCCTGTGAGTCTGGAGCTCAGGAGGGAGTGCCGGATGTGCCCTGGAAGGTAGAGAGTTCAGGGTCCCCAGCAGGGAGGGCGTAAAGAATGGACTGAACAGTGGGGTGTGATTCAGACCTGGGGCCGAGTTCTTGAAAACCCAGGTTCTTGTCTCTCCAGCACCGCGCTTTTCCTCGTGTCCTCCTGAGACCACCTCTTGAGGGTCGGGTGGAGCTGCAGCCAGGAGGGGCGTCCGGAACGAAGCAAAACCCAGCCCATCCCCCAAACAGGCAGGCCCAATCCTGGCCTCAGAAGCAGGGAGAGAATTGTCTGTCTACCTAGAGTCAGAGATCCCAGGAGAACTAGAGGCTGTCACTTTCTGAGAACTTGACACCTGTCACACTGACGAGGCCTTTCCTGGTGCCTCGCACCCCCAGCTGTGTTTCGGCTCTGAAGCGAGGCTCTGGGGAGCTGGGCTGCCCCCCCATAGGGATGCTTTTCTGGAGTTGTTTCCTCCTGTGGGCTCAGGTGAGCGCTTGCCTGCTGGAGAGAGCCGGAATGGGCCCCAGCCTGTCCCCGGGTACCATTTTGAGTATACACGGCGTCCAGGAGGCATGCCTGATACGGGACTGGAAACGGGTGGCAAGTGGGAGGCCTCCTACATGCTGGAAATTCTTTGCACCTTAAAGAAGGCTGAGGAAGTCTTTCTCCTCCAGAGATATGACTGCTACCTCAGACTTATTTTTTGCCTCGAAAGATTTCAAGGCTGTCTGATTCTTGGAGTGAGGGGAAGCAGGGCCTTCAAAACAGACTGGTTGCCTCCAGCAGAGAGCGGCTCAGGAGCTGGGACGATGCTGGTTTTCCTGTTGAAATCCCCGGTTGACTTCTGGTCGAATCTGCCCTGGAGTTTTGTTTACCTTCTCCCCTTTCTAGCGGAGGATGTTGCCCTCTGTGCCCCTGGCTGCCTTACATGTCTCGACTATCCCACAACTGATTAATGTTCTACGAGTCAGAACCATTTTGGCGACAAGCAACAAGTGTGAGTCCAATTGTCTTAA